ACTTAAAAATGGTTAAGATGGCAAATTTTATGTTATGTATATGTTACCACAATAAAAAATACTGCACATTAAGGATTAAGTAACACAGCCACCAAGTAGAGGAGCCAACAGTCACACCCAAGCATTGCTGCCCAAGAGCCTTGCTTCTAGTTGCCCCTATAATGTCTGATTTGCAAATGAAGATGTGACCTGCACATGACACAGCTGAGAAAGATGGCTCGTCTTGGGGCACTGTGAGATGGGGCAGGGTTTTTTTTATGCAGAGAGGGGCATGGTCGGGCTTGAGGGTTAGAAAGTTCCCTCTAGCTCGCAGGAGGATGGGCTGGGGTGAGACTGGAGGTGAGGAGGAGGCTGGGAATTGCCAAGGCAAGAGGTGCTGGTGGCCCAGATCAGGGCAGCAGTGGCAGGATGGAGAGAAGGAGGTGCATTTGAGAGACGTGTGAGGTGGAATGGACAGGAAGCAGGGGGCAGGCAAGTTTCCTTCTGGCCCACTCCAGCCTCCTGACAGTGGTCCTTCCAAGGGCCCCTTCCTCCTTGACAGGAGTTTTGGAGGAAAAGCCAGGGCACAGGCTTCCTTTCCGTCCCCAGGGGCAGTGTCCCAAAGGCTTCTGGGAGCTGGGGCTCTTGCTCCCATCTGTCCCCAGCACAGTCGGCCTATGGGTGCGTCCCCATCCTCCCCCCTCTCTCACGCCATCTCCACCCCCACCCCATCTCCTCTCCTGGCCTCTGCTGCACCCCCCTGTGTCCTCTCTCCAGGGAGACAAATTATTAGTAATTGTAACCTCACACTTGACACGTTATGAAGCAGTGGTACAGCCATTAGCTCATGTGGTCCTTCCAAAAGACGGGGGCAAAGACCACTTTATAATAAGGAAACTGAGGACCAGTCAGGGAATGGGACCTGACCAATGCCAGTGTGTTGGTGGCCGAGCCAGGGCTGGAGGCCTTAGGCAGCCAGTGCCCACTCTGGAGGCCTGTGACAGGGCACAGCCTGCAGCCCCCAAAGAACCATGGCTGCTGACGAGCCCCCGTTTGCCCCTGCACCCCCTCCCACCCCAGGGTGCCTTCCCTGTGATCCATCCCCATGGGCATCAGTCAGGTCAGACTGACCGGCACACACCTGTCGTGTTTATGCCCTCCTCATCCTCTACTCCCGGAATCACAAGAGTCAACACCATCACCACCATTGACATATTGATAACAGCGTGAGTCTGCTTGGCTCTCAGAATTTAGCAAGCACTAACCCATCCATCAGCTCATCTGAGCCTTTCGACAGCTCTGGGAAGGCATTTCACAGTCAAGGGTACTGAAGATCAGAGAGGGCAATGACCAGCCGCAGGTCACCCAGCCAGGCCTTCACAGTCTCCCAGGAGAGAGAAGCTGTGCACATACCAAGGAGAAGCGGGGGCACAATGATGGGGTTTAGCGCAGTCCTGCCTGGAGGTTTCTCATCATCCCTATTTTACAGGTGAGGAAACAGCCTCAGAGAGCTTCCTCTTGGGTCAGGATTAAACTGTCTGACACACAGGCTCACTCTTTCTGGGGCACAGGCTGCCTCTTCCAGGGCGGGATGCGGAGTTTCCAGGGAGGTGCATATTTTCTCCAGGCTGGTGGGGGGCGCTGGTGGGAGGCAGAGGCAGCTGGACCCAGGAGAAGGCTGCTGTAGGCAAAAGAGCCTAGGGAGTGGGGGAGGCAGCTTCCCAGAGGAGCTGTTGGAGGAGGGGAGGAGCCTCCAGGTGGGGTGTGGCTGGGGGGCGGTGCACAGCACGGGCTGTCGTTGGCCAGGCCAGTGGCTGTGTTGAGCCAAGGGGGGTGGGGCTCCCCAACCTGGACACCCACCGGACACACACCTGGCCTGCGCACCGGCGCTTCTCCTCGCACGGGGAGGAGGTGAGCTGTGTCCTGATGGAAGACGTGTGCCAACAAAGACAGGGAAAGCCTTGAAGGCTTGGCAGGGTGGGGCCTGTTTCCCATCAGCCAGCCAGGGAAACTGAAGCCCAGTGAGAGACAGACAGTGACTCCCCCATGCTCATCACATCTCCAGGCCTCAGTCTCCCCATCTGTGAAAAGGAAGGGTTAAATTAATTGAGCTTCACAGAGAATTAGAAAACATGTTTCACATAAATATATCTATTTAGTACTTTGCTAATTACTTTTAATTAAGTGGAAATGGATCATCATAAAGTACCATTTGTCCATCCTTGCTATTGGAAAGTATGCATCCTGCTGCTCGGCCCCCACAGCCCCCGGCAAGTCACATCAACCTCTCTGAGTGGCGGTGGCCTCATGAGTAAATAAGTATGAAGTTGCCTTCCTTGGGCAGTCAATGAGCTATGCATGGGGTGTGTCATACAGCAGGGGTCTGGCCCCAAGGCTGCAACTGGGGTTGGGGAGGGCCACCACTGGGACTGAGGCCCTCACTTGTGTGTGGGACCAAGAGCTCATTTATAGATATCCGCTCCCCGGACTGCCAATCCAGAAGGGAAGTGGGAGCAGAGGTGCTGAGGTGGCAGTTTGGAGCCTTTTTCAGGAAGAAGCCTCTGGTCACTCTTCCCCTTCTCACCCTCCCCACCCCCTGCCCCATCTTCTGGGCAATCTTGCGGGGACCCTCAGGACTGTCTTGAAGGTGTGTGGTTTCACGTCACGACCTCCACTGAACCGATGGGAAGACAGAGACCCAGAGAGGACAAAGGATTTGCCCAAAGTCCCACAGCAGGCTTGCCACAGAGCTAGGCCCAGAATCGAAGTCTCTAATCTGGAGCTCAGCACTCTTCCCTTGTACCTAAAAGCAGATAGTTCTATGAAATGAAGCATCTCCTGTTTTGCTTGGTTTACAAAAAGACATTTCCCTAAAAGGGTTGGCTTAAAGAGGGGAAGGGCTTGGGTTCTGCAAACAGCCTGCAGTTTTAGAAACAACATCAGGCTTAGCATGAGACATGGCTCTGCGAACAGCACAGGGCTCCACAGAGTGCTGCAGACTGCACCAGGCTTTGCCGATAGCACAGGACTCTAAAGAAGGCATCCAGTTTTGCACACCGTGGGAATCCGCAGATGGTGTTGGGATCAACACACATCATGGAGCTTTGTAAAATGCGTGATGCGTGGCAAACACCGCATGTTGGCAAGGGGCAAAGCTGAGGTGCAGCTCATGCTGTACACACCTTGCCCTGTGGGACCCAGGTCTGTCTGGCTCCAAGACCTCCATCCTCAGCCCTCAGTCTGGAAATCTCTGGGGATTTCAGGTTGGCCCTTCTGCCTCCCTTCTTCCCTTCACCTAGGTGGCTGTCATCTCATCAAACATCGCTGAGACAGACTTGGCCAGCCAGGCTGGTCTCTCTCTCTCTCTCTCTGTCTCTCTCTCTCTGTCTCTCTCTCTCTGTCTCTCTCTCTCTCTCTCTCTCTCTATATATATATATATATATATATCCAGATCAGTCCAGGTATAGAGCTTCTTCAGCCTCTGGGGCCAAGATGGGGGTAACAGAGCTTCCAGAAAGCCTAAAGGGACCTTCTCTCTCTGGACCGTGTACCTGCAATTTGGTGTCTGGACAGTTGCCCCTCTGCCACTCTTTGTGAGGACTCACGGTGCCAACTTCGGTCTGAAGGATTTGGAGAAGATTTCTCAAGTAGGATCAGGGTCTGGTCTTTCTATCCACCCAAGCCAACAATTGACTTTTCCCAGTGCAGGGGAATGTGTCCACATCTCTGGTTTCTCAAAGACTCAGTCCTTCATGCAGTGAGTACCCACCGAGTGGCTTGTAAGGGCTCGGGAGATCTGTAACTATAGCAAGGAGGAGCCAGTGGGGCTGATGTGTGCTTCTCTATTATTGCACCTTGAAAGTTAGACTCCAAACCCACATCCCCATTCCATCCAAAGACCTTATTCCTGGGATGGAGTCAGGTTCACTTCTGCATCTTTGATTTGGGGAAACCCAGAGAACTTCCTCAGAGAAGACAGCTTAGGTGGAGGAAATAGCCTGGTTCTGGCATCAGAGGTTCAAGGTATGGCCCTGCCACCTATTAGCTGGGTGACCTCCAGCTAGTTACGGAGACTCAGTGCCTCGTCAGTAAAATGGGAGAGTAAATACCTGGCCTCCAGCGCCGATGGGAGGGCCCAACAGGCCCTCGCCTGTGAAAGTGCTGTGCAACCTGGGAAAGGCAGACGGTTTGTTTTCTCTTTCTGCCCTTCCCAGCCCCGCCTCTGCCACTCCCTTCTCTGAGCTTGAGGCCTCCAGGCTTGGCTTCTTTCTTGCTCACTGAACTTTCATGGCAGCTCTGCAAGGGAGGAGTCCTGTCCCCTCTCTATAGAAGAGGAATTGACACCCTGGGAGGTGCAGGGACTTGCCTAAGGTTGCTTGACCAGTTGATGACAGTTGCGATGGGACTCAGGCCTGCTGGGCTCCAGGGCCTCCCTCCTCAGTCCTCAGTCGGAAAATCCGGGGATTTCAGCTTTGCCCTTCTGCCCCCTCCCTGCACCTAGATGGCTGTAACTGCCAGAGCTCCTGCCACGAGCTCCCCCAGGTGGGCTGGCCACTGTGACTCCAGCGGACAGGGCCCCACCTTGCTCTGGATCCTTGGAGCTCAGAGAGATGTGGGTTTGCTGAGAGAGGACAAGGGCTTCGGGGGACAGGGGCTCAGTGAAGGAGGACGACGGCTCGGATGGGGGAACAAGGGCTCTCTATGGGGCTCATCAAGGGTGACAGATGTTCTGTGATTGAGGGGGACGCGGGCTTGGCAGGAGAAGGGGCTCAGATTGAAAATGGGAGCAGAGTGAGCAGATCGAGGGATCAGGGCTGAATGACCCTAGGGCCCGGGGAGGCCCATCAACATCCCCTGTACCCCCTACCTCTGCACTGCTAACAGAGCAGGAGAAAATAGCCAAGGGAAATGCTGAGAAGGGAACAGGCAGAGTCTGAGCTCTAGGGAGGTGGGGCAGGGCGCAGCTTCCTCCCAGCAGGAAGGCTGGACCTAAACAAACCCAGCCTCCTACACAACTCTGGAGCCAGGGCGGAGAGGCAGAAGCAGCAAGTGGCCAGGGAGACAGGCACTTGGAGAACGGGGCTGACTTCGCGCAGGACTCCCTAGCCCTTGCCTGGACGGGGCTGCTGTCCAGGGTGGCCCAAGAGGCATCCACACAGTGCCCAGCGTCCACGGCTGTGCACATCCCTGCTGTGGCTGAGCGGCTGCTGCTCCCAGGAGCCCCTGAGTGGGCCTGCTCCCTCTGCCCTGCCACGCTCCAGTCCTGAGCTTTAAGTAGGGGCTGGGACTCCCTGCAGCCCAGCAGGCCTGGGACCCAGGATAGGTAAGTCTGGTTGAAATAAGGAAGGGGCATCGGGAGGGAACCCAGGGGCCCTGTTCCCAGGGAGAAGGGTGCGGCTGTACAGCCAAAGCCGGTGTGCAGGGGTGGGACCGGGGCTCACAGCTCTCTGCACAGAGCCAGGCACGTGGCTGGAGCTGGGTGAAAGTGTATTTAATGAATGAGTGAATGACCAGACGGGCAGGAAGGGATGCTGTTTACTCAGCTGGAGATCAGGAGCCGGCCAACCTCCTTGATGGGACAGAGACCAGAGGACAACAGAAAGACAGGCCAACCATCACTGAGCCCTGTTTCCCTTCTCTGAGAGAGACAAAGATGGGTGCAGACACGGGCCTCAGATACAGATGGAGACAGAAGGACGGGGACGTGGATGAAGACAAATTTCAACAGGTGTCAGCAGGAGAATGCAGAGAAAGAGAGGGGAGCAGCCCTGGAGCGACAAAGAAGCAGGAGGCAGGGAGAGTGAGAGAGAATCAGATGGGGGCTGGCAGCCAGAGTCAGGAGGAGCCACACAGAAAGGAAGGGGATTCAGAGAGACCCGGAGACCTGGTGGGCTGGCTGTGGGTGGGGAGGAAGCCTTGAAGCCCAGGTTGGAGCGTAGCAGGGAAGCACCATGTGGCGAGGGCCGAGTTTCTGGAAGGAGCACCAGGCTAAGCATTTCCTGGGCAGGCAGTGAGTTGGAAGAAACAAAAGGTCTTTAGCTAGGGAGGACTGGCTGGATGCCCTGCAGCTGTCACCTCTGGCCCCTTCCCACCTGTCTGTCCTCCCGGGCTGTGTGAGCATCACACCCACTCGGGCAAGGCTGGACTTGCACCCAGGAGCCCGGCAGTGAGGGCTTCATAGGCTGCCGAGACAGACTGGCTGGTGTGCAGCTGTGGGGACTCCAGGACACAGCCACAGCCTGGGGACTGTGGTATGGCAGGAAGGCTGGGGTGGAGGCTTCCTCTCAGGGACAGATGCGAATGAGGTCAGATTTGGGTGGGTTGGTTTGGGGTGGGGTGGGATGGAAGGGCCATTGACAAACCAAATTCCCAATCGGCCTTGGCTCGGTGTTGGATGGGAGGGTTGGGGATCCTGTGGGTGTGGGAAGCAACTAGAAGCTTTGGATGTACTGCACCTTCCCCCAACCCCACTACCTCCCATACTATTTTTCTGGGCCATAAAGGGCTCAGCTCTAGAACATTCTCTACTGTCCCCCCAATCTTCCATGCATACAGCAGGAAACTGACCCCAGCATCTGCCACCTGGGCCACCAGAAGCCACTCTAGCCTTGCCTAGGCTGTGGCCAGGCTCATGCAGCACTCTGAGGGATGTGGGCACACTGCGGGGCAGGATATGGAGCCTGGAGCCTGGAAGAATCCTGGGCCCAGCTCACCAAGGGACAGGTGACAGCTGTCCGAGCCAGGGGCAGACACCAGAGAGGAGTGAGGGTCAGATGTGGCTCTGGCAGAGCCCCTGCACCACCCCTCCACATGCCCTTGGGCAGCAGGCCGAGCGTCCCTGTCTGTGCAGGGACAGGCCATTTGCACAGGGTGATTCAGAGACCCCGCTTTCCCACCGCTGCCCCTGTGCTCAGGAAGGGCCTGCCCACATCCCATTCTGATGAAATTTGTCATTTCCCAGCTCCTCCAAATGCTGACTCCTCCAGGAAGCCTTCCCTATTCCCCCAGCTGGGGGTAACCTCTCCCGCCAGCTTCCATATGCTGTTTGACCCTCTCTTAGAGGTTCATCCTTCCTTGTTTCTGGCATTGTTGCTGTTGCTGTCCCCAGCCCTTCTATGTCCAAATGTGAGATGTTCCAGGGCACATAGGTGGGGCAAGGGAAAGAACCAGGGGCCCTAGGTTTAAATCCCAGCTCTGCATCACTGGCTTGATGAGAACTCAGTGAAACACACTCAGCCTTTTTAGTAGGTGAGGAAACAGATGCTCAGAGAGGGCAAGTAACTAGCCCAAGGTCACCTAGCAAATACCGTGTTTCCCTGAAAATAAGACCTACCCATAAAATAAGCCCTAGCAGGATTTCTAAGCATTTGCGCAATATAAGCCCTACCCCGAAAATAAGACCTAGTGATGGGCGTGGCTACGCAGCGTATCTGCACAACCCATGCATTTTGTCCAGCAGTAAAGAAGAGAGCAGCCCTTCTCATCTGCCCTGTCGTGACAGCTACAATCCCAGAGGTGACCCGAAAGATACGGGTAGCCCCACCAACAAGGTGAGCTCCCCCTGTCAGGTCCTGGCCACCCGGTGCGTGCTGCAAGCTGAGGCTTTGAAGGGAAAGTCTCCTCAGTGAAGTGAGGAGCGGGACTCTCTGCTTTAGGTATTGTGTGTCCCCAGGGGGAAGAAAGCTGTGGCTGCCATTTTACTCAGCACTGTGGGCCTCTCTCACCCCCCACAACCACCAGGGGATGGGGAAAAGCTTCAGCAAGCAGTCTCCTACTGAGCCCAGAGAGATCATTTCTGCTCCACTGTGCAGATTGGACCCAGTGCCCACTTGATCTCTGATAAATAAGCCAGCCGTGCTCATTTAATGAGAGCTCCATTGCTCGACATGAGAGATTAGGGTCAATGGTTCTAAAGGAAATAGAGTTGCAAGAAATTCAGGATGGAATTTGGGGTTTGTAGAGTTATGATGATGTTCCAGAAGATGACAACTTAACTATATTTGAATAAATGTAGATTGTTGTACTGTACTTAAAAAAAAAAAATTCCCTGATAATAAGCCTTAGGGTGTCTTCTGGAGGAAAAATAAATATAAGACCTTGTCTTATTTTCGGGGAAACACAGTAAGCAGCAGAGTGGGGGCCAGAACCCAAGTCTGCCAGGTGCCAAAGCTCTTTCCTCTCTGTGCCATTGCCTCTGGGCTTTCTCTTTCCTTCCACAGCCTCCGCCCAGGTTGAGCATGCCTGGGGAGGAGATAGCATCGCAAATGCCTGGAGGAGCCATCCTACCTGGAGCGTCTGTGGTGACAGTGAGCTGCCAGTACAGTTGGAGTGGGGGGGGAGGTGTCACTGGGAAATATCTTGGGAAATTAAGCCAAAGAAGCTGATGGGGCCCAATCTCAAGGGTCTCATATGCCAGGTTGGGCATATGGACTTTGTCTTGGAGGAAACTGGGAGGTATAGAAGGTATCTGAGGAGGGCGGTGGCTAAGCTTCAGTGGCCCAGAGAATCTGTGTCCCAGGAGCACGTAACCCATAATAACTCTACTCATGTGTGCAGCACTCTAATGAGTACAAAGTGCTATCATGTGCATTTTGTACAGGAGGAAACTAAGGCAAGGAGGAGTCCTGTTACCTGCCCAAGACCATGCAGCTAGTCAGTAGCAGAGCCCAGGCTCAAACTCTAGCACTGCCCTGGAGCAGGGCCCGTTCTGGCCTTCCCTTAGCCTCTGTCCTGACGAGTCTGTACTGAAGGCTCCAACATACCCAGCCTGTGCCTGGTGAACACAGGCTGAGGGGGCTGGGTCTGTAAGGAGCCTGCCCCCTGTAAGGGGCCTGGGCCAATAGCTGCCTATTACTGGGCCTCGGGCTCCTGGTTTGGGGCCTAAGGAGACTGGCCTGGGTCCCCCATAGGCTCAGGGCTCACCCTCCCACCCAGGCCGCAGTCAGTATTTTTAAGATCATCATGGGTCTAGAAAGGGTAGCCAGGGCCAGAACCAGGAACAGAAAGTCCCAGCACAGGGTCCCTGACCCAGCTTGGAAACCACCAGAAACTGCCTGGCCCTTCCCCTGACCCTGCCAGATCTCCCTCAAGAAGCAACAGCTGGAAGGCCCACAACAGCTGGACCTCAAACATGCTATTGTCCTCGCAACAGACCACCCAAGGGTCCTCCCAGAAGAATTTCCCCAAAATGACAGCCAAACTCAAAGACTAGAGACATGCCCCCTCCCCTTTGCAGCCTTTGACTCTTTCCCCTCCAGAATGCGGGGCCACGGCAAACTGGGAACTGAAGTGCTCAGGGCCCCCACGCCGCCCCCATCCCACCCAGGCCCATCACGGCAGCCCCTGCCCACAGCCCCATGCTCCAGCCTTCTCTTCGTCCTCATTCAGCTTTGCTGGGGAGCAGGGACACTCCAGGCTGAGGGTACTGCCTGTACTTTGCCTGTGCAAAGGCTTAGAGTTGGGAAAGAACGTGATGAATTTGGGGAATGGCAAGAATCTATAGAAGCCAGAGAGTAACATTCACCAGGCTGGGTACAAGAAGCAGAAGCAGCTCCCAGGAGCCTTGACCTCCTTGAGGCTGAGGAGTCTGTACTCATCGTTTGGAGCTGAGGCCAGGAGCAGGCGGCAGGGATGGGGCTCTTTGTTGGGGCCTACAGGGTACCAAGCGGAGGGCGTTTTCCTCTCATCCTACCCAAAACACCATGGGGCACTATTCTCTCACTTGCAGAGAAGGCTAAAGAAGCTGCCCAAGGTCACACAGCTACAAATGGCAAGACAAATATTTGAATCTAAAGTCTACTGACCCAGAGGGTTTCCGCAGGGACCTAACGTGTTCCATTGGGACGGAGGACTGATCACTGCCCTGGGGGAATTCACTACCTAATCAGACCAATCAGAGAGAAACACAAATAATGCAAGAGAGTGGCCAACAGTGCTGCGGTCCAGAGAAGCCTGCAGGAAACTGGCCTGGGTGGGGCGTGGGGGTTCTGGAGGGAAAGATGGTTGACCTGAGCTGTAGGAACTCGGTAGGGGCCCAGCAGGCCAAGGGAACCCAGGGAAACGCAGAGGGTGGGAAGGGCTCGAGGCAGGGGATCGCTGCGCTGAGGCTGGCTGCCTCCCGCCCAACACCTCTGGGGAGAGGTGTCAGTTGTCATCTTGAGGGATAGATTGCCCAATACCTGCTGCTGGGAATGTTTCCTTTCCCCCCGCTCAGGCAGTGGGCATGTTAGTGCTGGAGGCTGGTGGCTTTGCCAGTGACACCCCCTCACACACCACTTGGCACCTGGAACACCTCCTTTTGTGCAGCTCTTCTCCAGTGGAGCA